TCAACTCCCAGAATTCCCCAGCCAACATGCTGGCTAGGGAATTCTGGGAGTTGAAGTCCATACACCTTAAAGTTGCCAACTTTGCAAAACACTGCTCCAGAGATACAGGTAGTTCTTGCTTAATGACCACAATAGGGACTGTAAAATTGGTTGTTAAGCAGAACAATCGTTAAGTGAGTCACCATGTGACTGGACCCAATTTTACAACCATTTTTATGATGGTCACTAAGCGAATCACATGGTCATAAAGTGAATCCAGCTTCCCCAATGGACTTTTTTTGCCAGAATTCAGTTAACGACCATGTGATTCCGTTAACGACCACAGTGATTCACTTGACTGTAGTAAAAAAGTTCACAAATCACGATCACATGACTGCAGGGGAGTGCGATAGCTTGCGATAGTTGTAAGTGCAAGTACAGATCATAAAGCACTTTTTCCGAGGCCGTTGTAACTTTGACCCATCGCTAAACAAACAGTCATTAAGTGAGGACTACCTGTACTCTTAAGTTTCAGCTTTTAGCATCCCTGATCATAAGACAACTGCCTAGAGCTAAAATAAATTGGGTACATGGCATGCTACCCTTTCTTTCCCATGTCTAGGAACATACTAATCTCACTGATAGTTTTGTCTCTTCTCAACTGAGCTGAATAGCACACAAAGCAGAAAATCTAAAAGATTATCCTGTTTTGAAACAGGACTACAGCAATTACCCGTTTTCACTGTTCACGGCATCCCCTGCCAAATATTGATGGAGACCAACTGTTCTGCCTTTTTCTTTTCAGCTTTGCAACTATGGTGATTGGGCAAGCTGGCACCTTGAATCTTGTATGGGTATAAATTATGTATGAGCAAAATATGCACTGCACTTCTTAAAATTACTGTAATTGGTTCTTACTGGAACACAGAACTAACTGCAATGAAAGCAACAAATGCAAATGTGTCTACGCCAGGATCCAGCCACTATTCCAAACAATTCCAGGACACTGAAGGCTTTAAAAGTTACATTTTAAAATTTCAACTGAGCTCAAATGCAAAGAATGCTTAATGCAGTTATTTCAAAGAGCTGTGATATGTTCTGTCTGGAAACCCATTCTAGAACCACCATACAGCTCATTTTACTTTCCTAAAATAAGACAGACACCCCCCCCAACTTTCACTTAGAATGTCATTTCCAAGGCAAACGTACATTTAGTGCAAAACATGTACACTTAACAACGAGCTGTAGTCAATCATCTCTTCCTGATAAGTTTATTTATATAATACTGAGGAATACAAACATATTTTTGTGTGTTTATTTTTTATTATTTATTTTATTATTTATACTTTTCATTTTTAGATATATATCTAATATTTTAATGTCTACAAATTTAAGGTGTGATGCACCAATTCCAATAAATTATCAAAAGAAGTAGAATACACATATATAAGTAAAAGAAGGAAACAAGGTGAAGAAACACAAGAAGATAGAGGAAAATAATTTCTTCTCCTTTAATGGGAGCTGCAACAGCAGATAGTGGTAGTCATTTATTCTTAAATTTATAGACAAGTGAGCCATTCTGAAAGCACCATCAGATCTTCTCTTTTTTTATGGTGATAAGACTGTCACCGTGGTCAGAATTTCAGATTCCCAGATCTAAATAACTCAGAATTGTTTCGCTCAGAGGAAGAAACTACGTGCAACGTTGCATTCCTCTTCAGTCTTTCCCTGACCATTGTGGTATCTAGAGTACAGTACAGAAGCCCTGCATTTAAGTCAGATCACGGCTACCTTTCCTAGTTTACATGATTAGATCCTGGCAGAAAGAAGACAAGTTAGCAAGGAATTGCTCACCAGTTCTGTCTCCTTGGCTCCAGAACAACATCAAAGCAAAAAGCTTTCTCCCTAGAGATGGAAAC